TTCCGTACTACTACTTTTTTGTCTTATTGGTGTTGCTGTTGTTTTTGTTTATTTTAACATATTTTAGAACTTAGTCACGTTTGCAAAACTAAGGCAGGCAAACACCAAGCCAAGTTTGCCCTGTGCTATGTATATCTGCTTGCAATATTTTTTGGTGATATTGGAGACCCATAGCTGGTCATTTATAATTTTAATGGATACAAGCAACTTAAACAGGCGTTAAGTGGTTATAAACGACAAAGACACTGTGGCATGGTTTGGACATAATTCGTTTTAGCAGTTAACGAATCTTTGGCGAAGTTCAAAAGAATTTCGTTTGAGTGAAACACTGTTCAGCAAAGAAAGAAATCGAAAAGGAACATAGTTTTCGCATGGATTGCCTGTGGTTTGGATGTGATAAACACTGGGGTTTTTTCGCAATAACCCAGCAAACCCAGCGGAATACGACATAAATTTTCAAAACATGTTTACCAAATTTTGAAAATTAACAGAAGTTGCTATTTGACAATAATACAAATAAATTTATACAAAATTTATTAAAATGGTCATTAAACTCATTGAGGTTTAAATAAATTTCTATTTGAAAAAGAGGATCTGCAATGAAAACAATCTTTACAAAAATCCGATATTATGTAAGGAATACCAAAATTTTAATTTTTGTTCTCCATCATTTACAATAAGTCTTCCCGTCAGCTTGAAGAACTTGACAACATGAACATAGCATCATTTACTCAAATAAAAGACACATTTCAAAAAATTTAAAAACTCATTTTAAGTTATCGATTTAAATTTGACATTCCGAATTTAGAATATTGTTACAAATATATATATATTTTTTTTTAATTTTTTAATTTTGTTTTCAAAAATTCCCAAAAAAAATAAAGACATTTATTTGCAACGAGATTACCAAATATCAGTGCTAAATGTATATGGAAGATCAAGTATGGGTAGAGGTATTTAAGTGTTGTTTAGTTGACTAATGCCAAACTCCAAATAAAAAAGCTGTAGCTTCTTGAGTTCAACAGATATAAACATGCCAATGTGATAGAAAAATAAAAGAAACAAGAATTTTTAAATTAAGCCACCCTTTGAGTAAATGAGCGATGTATGTTTGCAAGTGGAATCTAAAAGGAATTGAGAATTCGTAAAATTCAAGTCAAAAGCGCATTATAAGACCGGCTTTTGATCGCTTTGCCTCTCTCATTTATCACTGGGTTACTATTGAAAATTCATGCATTTAAGGCTTGCAGTTCATTTTTTTGTTTATTGTCACTGTTTCTTGGCAAAAAAAATAAGCCACAACGGATCTGCACTTCAACTCCAGCCAGCCAGCCAACCAACCAGCCAGCATCCAGCGGACAATGCGTGAGTTTAAACTTGAGAATAAGCAAAGGCTTAGCAGAAAAACATGAATGAATAAATGAATTTGAATGCACAAAAGGATAAAGTCAAACAGGCCAACACTGAAAACAAACAAACAAATAGAAGCAAAAGACGAGCGAGAGTAAAGTACAAACCAAAATACATATAACAAAAAAAAAGCGAGAAAAAAACACTATATAAAAACGCGAACCGTCGTGTTCCAAAGATTAATAAATTGATGGCATCCATTGCACATAACGTGTAACTAATGGCTGTAATCAATTTTGCTTTACATCTCAATCTACAAACGAAATGGAAGAGAGCAAGGAATAATAACAGCAACAACAACAAAATGGCCATATAACAAACAGAGAAATATCCCTGAACTCTGAAATTGAGAACAAAATACAAAAATCGGCAGACAGACAGACAAACAGATACAACCATCAAATGGAAGGCAAAAGTAAACAAATGAGAATCCTGTCTAAAAAATATAGGTATACTACAACTATTCACAAGGACTGTTGGAGTTATTGGGAACAGAAGAAATGTATCATAAGGGGGCGAGAAGGTGGAAGGAAAATCATTTGCTGGCCATTAATAAAGCGTTTTTGTCAAAGGGTCAGATATTAAAATAGGATATTTCACGAATTATCCAAAAAAAAAAAAAAACAAAAAAATTATAGGACTTTGTGAAATGGGCGAAACGAAACGAAAGAGAGAGAGAGAGAAATAATTTTTATAATATATATAAATTTGTTACTTGTTTTCATTAAAATTAAAAATGTTTTTAAAACTTATTTTGCAATAGGACCAAGACTATTTAAAAAGAACTGTATTCCCACCTTATATGTAATTACTTAATTTCTTTTAACGAGCACAAATTATTTAATGAAATTCTTTAAAACCAAAAGGTCCACCCACTCACTCACCTTTTACTTTTATCTTCACTCCTCTCTCACTCTTTTTATCCCTCCCTTTCTATCCCTCACACAATAATTTACACTGGCATTACACAAAGAAGAAAGCAGACATGAAATAATGTATCCTTTTTAACCTTGACTTAAAATAAATGTCTTTACATTTAGCCTTGATATACCCCTTAAATGAAAACAGACAAAATTTATGGACCTTCACCAATCAATCAATAGTTGGGAAATTTTTTGAAATGCAGAAAACACCGACCACAGACTTTCGGACAGACAGACAGACAAGTAGAATACCTGACATTTGCGAATTACTACAAACACACACAGACTCACCCTAACTCGGCATACTGCAATAGCAATAAAAGTGAAATTGTAACAAAACCCATTCTTGTAAAATAGGATTAAAGGTATTTAACTCTAAAAAGAGGATAATAGCTCTAAATAAATCCCTAAACAAAACCAACAAGGGTAATGTTTTGAAGAAAGGCGGCTTCCAAAAGGATAATGTGGCGAATTTTGCAAATTCAAGTAAATGGCAAAACTAGAGCGTAACTAATGTAATTGCTGGAAAATGAGAGAAGGCAATGTGTTTTCTTCGTTTTGTCAGAAGAGAAAGGCAAAGAAAAGGACGTAATACTATCGATTCTGATGTAAACTTCTGCAATGATTGGCATATGTCAATGCTGTCGATTTATTTTTTTCGATTTATACAACAAAAAAACTGGTATTTTAATAAAGCTTTGAATGCAAACATTCATGGGAATTATTTAATCGATTTTATAAATTTATGAAATTGTATTGTTTTAGTTTTCGCACGTTCTTCTAAGGGTCTGCATTTGTATGACGAATGCGAAAGAAAAACACCATTCCAGATTTATTTTTGGAATTTATTATTTAAAGTGAAAAAGATTAAATATATTAAAAATGTATTTGGAATTGTGTTTTATATCTCCCTCACTGACGTATCGTTATATAGAAATTATCCTTTATTTTGAAACAAAAAAATTAGCATATTTTCAGTTTCGTATTTTCCATCTACCACACCACTGTGCTGTACGCTATCTCCACCCTGCGGCAATTTACGTAACTATATGCCACCGCAGTTAGCAAAGACAACAACCTAGTAAACAATTTCAATTTTTTGTTCTTCTTATTGGTAAAATATTCCATATAGGATCTCTCTATGTATTTCAAATTAGAAAAGATGAATCACAAACTCAAAATGTAAACGCCGAAAAAGTTTTCCTAACAGATTTTGTGTTTTAAAAAATAATATTAAGGTAATGCAACTTAAAATAATGTATAAAAAAATCAAAACTACTTTGTGTTCAAATTTAAATTATACTACATAAAACACAACGTTTACAAAAAAATAGGGATGCCAAATTGGGGTATATTGAAAAACATATTTTTTTCTAATATGAATTTAAATTATTTGTATAATATAAACATTTCTTCAAGAAATCTGAAATTTTTACAATTTTTTTGGTCGCTATCTGTAAAAACCTTTTTTCTTAAAATTTTAAACGCCATACTTCTGTTCAAAGCCTTTCTGTTGTAAATAATTTCTTGCATAAAAATAGAAACATTATATATCATATCTGTATGCGCTTTAGATGGGAAACTTTAAAAACCTGGTATTCACTTCTTCTATTATAAATTTTGTCAGCTATTTATGATGCTAAATTTCGACAGACAGATAAAGGCATTCTAATTCAATTTGCCAAAAAACGTGTTTATAAGATCTAAGATGGTTGTGATTGTTGACCGTTCTACCACGGTTACTACAAGGTAAAATTATTTCTGCAAAAAAAAAATATTTTCTAAACGACCTTTTCTTAAGTAGATTAACATCACTTTAAGAAAATTTCCCAAAAAAGTATTATCTTTCCTTATACTAGTAGTTTTATGACCTATTGAACTCTTTATAGCAGATCTATATCCATCAAGTGATGTATAAAACAACGCCTGTTATTCTATTTCATGCTGTCAGTGTGGAAACAATACTAAATTAATTATGGCATTTTTTTCCGGTAAATAAACCTGAACCCCTTTATTAATACATATTCAGGAAATTGTCCTGAGGCAGTGCTAGCATTTGACAGTATTTAGTTATATTTTGCTAATTAGGTTTCCCTTTTCAATGCACACTAATAATATTCCAAAGTTCACAGACAACAGCCGATACGTAACCTTGTATTGAGTATGCATTACTAGACTTTGCATACGATTTAAAAGTCCAAATCGACTTTTCATCTTGGTTTTGCTCTATATCTAGTGTAGAAAACGATGTAATCGATAGACGCATAAGTCGAATTTGTATTTGAAACTAAAAGTCGAAAAGTGTAAAAATCAGCTTTTCACATGGTAACATGGGATTTCTCAGAACTAACGATCTCTTATATATTTATTGTTGTTAATGACCTTTTTTTCAAATATCTCAAATTGCAAAATATATGTAAACAGTCCTAAAAGAATTTCTCACATCTCCTAGTATATTCAAACCAATCCCCTCAATTTTATAAACAATTTGGCATCCCATATTTTGTATCTCTTTTACTTTGGTGCAACCGTCAACCATGTAAAACAAAATAACTAACCAAAAAAAATGCAACTCTAACTACACTCAAACAACTACTTTTCGTTGGTAGAAGAAGAAAAAATTCCACTACTTTGTGTGGAATGGCGATCACTTTCCTTGACACTTACCAAATTGACTTCGCATCCAGGGATACAGAGGCGAAGGCATCCCTGATGGTTGTGAATTTGGATTTTGTGATGGTGGTGTATGCTGGCCGGGGTGTCCTTGGTGCATTTGTGGTGGTCCTTGACCCTGGTGCATCATGCCCTGAGGTGGTCCGCCAACTTGGGGTACGCCGGTTTGTTGTTGACCATACATGCCCATGTTGTGATGATTTTGATGAACCTTAAAACGGAGGAGATTAAAAAATGTTTAAAATAATTGTTATCCACAAAAATATGAAACTACTGCAAAAGAAATAAAAAATCTAAACTACAAAGAGTAAGATTGGTAAAGCCCAATTCAAAAGAAAAAAACATTTTACGTGAATAAAGGTGTAAGTACATAAGAAGCTTGAAGTCATGACTAGGCATATTTTGTGACGTTTCATAAAGAGATTACAGAGCCGCACTAAAATCCTGCCATCGTTTTCCATTATAATTTGACATTGATATGCCTAGCTATGACTTCAAGCTTTTTATGTTCAAGTTTTTCTCTTTCGACATATTCCAAACAATCGCTTGCTTAAACTTCTTTTCACATTATAATCAAGTTAAGGTGGGAATACATAAGCAGCTTGGCAGCGTTCCAAGGCATATTAGAGCTAAATTATAAGCATAGTGACGTCGGAATTCAAGTACGACTCGGACATTTCTTTATAATGTATCACATAATATGCCATGCGACGATGGTTATGTATTCTCGCCTTTAGCAAGTTCACTTATAAATAAAATATATCAAAGGAAGGGAAAAGTCTTGATGAATTTCCTTATGTTCGATTTTTTGAAATTTTGGGCTAAGTAAACAGAAAATAGACTAAAAATTCCTTGTTAATAAAACGAACCAAACTACAATCTCTTTTGGTTTTCTAATCCAGGTTATTTACACAATTCTAAAAGGACACATTTGAAGAAAGAATGTCTTACCTCCGTAACATCGGGTACTCCGACATCATTGTAACCCAACTAAAATAAATATGTAGACAAAAATCGCGAAGTGAATAAATAGGTTTACATGATATAAAATAATAAGAAGAAAATTAAATGTTATATTACGGAATTGAAAAATAACTTGACTCCATATCTGAAATGTCTAAAGACATTTGGTAGTCAACTAAATAAAAATACCTAGAGGCATTTCACTAACACCGAAAATGTGTTGGAGGAAATGTGGAACCTTTAGGTGACAACTAAAACATAAATTTAGAGTCAAGTTGTAATAGAAAATAAAATTCATGCTGATAGTTGCTTTTTTTTTTATTTGACATTTTTCTTACCTCCGTAACATCGGGTACTACGACATCATTGTAACCCAACTAGAAAAATATGCAAATAAGATCGGGATGTGAGTAAATTTATTTTGAAGTTAAAAGAATTAGACACGAAAAAACACACAAAACTGAAGAGAACACACAGAAAATGAATTAAAGTATCCCGATCCAATTATGGTGCCAATTAACAATTCTCATTTCATCGACTAACTTGAAACCATATAACAAGTTGATGTCGTAGCAATCTTTTTAAAATGTTACAAAAATTCACTCAATTTTTTAAACATAGGTTCCTTGTCTTCTCATTAAAACTTTTAACATTTTATTAAAATTTGAACAGATCGTTTTACAACTATCGATGTAAGTAGATCTGCATAACCTATGTTACCTCCGAATAAGTATTTTAAAAATTTATTTTCGTTTCATTATCCACAACTAAAACGACTGAAAGATTTGTCCGTGGCGTCGCGTCTAATGTTGCCAACCAAGCGAACACAGAAAATCAATGCGAATCACTTCTTTCTCTGAACGCAACACAAAGATCAAGTGTTAATTGGGCTTGAATCTTTCACCGGATTCAAGGGGATATCATGAGATATAAGGGGATATCATAAATATTTTTCGAATCCAGCGACCAAAGGTCCGATCATGTAGTCTTGAAAACCAAAACACCGAACAATATGAAGTCAACAGAAGCGATACCAACTATATCTGATGATATGTGATTTAGCGGCAAAATTTCAAAATTTATTAACATTATGTTAACAATTCGCTTATATTTTGTATTTTAATTTTAATAACAGTAAGTGTTTTTGCACCTGATCAAATAATAATCTGTGATAAATGGAACATCTTTTTTTTGCCATGCTCCGAATAATGGAAAAATGTTGTATGTTTTGTTTAAAATAACTGTTAGTTTTGCTTTCATTTGTGATTTCAATAACAACTCAAGGACAACAAGGTGAGTACCATCTTGTTCTATTATGATCTGATCTAAAGCCATATAATATAATGAGACATTTCGTTTTTGTTTTGATTCAATAGATGGTGTTTGTAGTAGAAAAACATGTTATAACATAACATAGCTGACACTTTTATAGGATTTCCAGTGATTTTTATCGATTCCATGTACAAGATAGCGCTCTGAATTGAATTTTATGAGCATGTATCTGTTGCTTTTCTCAGCGGTTTTCCCCATTTTTTTCGCGTTTTTGGAATAACATATTTCTGTAATTTTTCAAATGCATTGACACAAATTTCGTCGACTTTATATTTTCTACAAAATATAAGACCTATCCTTAATTTTAAATAGTTGGGTTTCTATTTCTCAAACAAAAAATGAACAAATCAAAATTCGAAAAGTGTCTTGCAATTAAACACTTGTTGTTGAACGCGAAAATATTATGCCTCCACCGACAGAATAGATTAACACAATTTTCTTTTTGTTACTCACCTGAGCCTGTGAATGCTGCATATGATGCTGCATGGCCATTTGAGGATTCATATGATGACCGCCAACCATTTGATCCGCCAACGGTGGAGAACCGCCCTCATGTACCATACCCAAACCGCCGACAGCCGCTTGCAGTTTACAGCTAGCATAGACGACAGGTTGATGTTGTTGCTGCTGCTGTTGAGGATGTTGTTGATGCGCCGGTACTTGTTGCTGTGTTACCTGTTGTTGCGTCACCTGCGGATGATGTTGTTGGTGGGCATCGTTTAGCGGTTGTTGTTGCGGTGGACCCTGTTGTTGTGGAACCATTTGTGCACCATTCGCCTGCGATGGTGGCACACAGCCACCCACCTGACTTGAGGGACTGTCGGGTCGGGAATAGACACCATGTTGGTCCATACCCTGGCCATTGTAGTAGGGCATACGATCATAAGGCGGGAAACGTGGATAAGGCATATTGCCCTGATGATTTGGTGTCTGACTGTAGTGATGCATCTGTTGGGCATCGAGATCGGCAACACCGTTACCCGGATAGTGACCATGGTGCATGTCGGCACCCATATAGCTGTTTGTAAAGTATGACGTCATACTTTCACAGTTATTTGTACTCATAGTCATCTTGAAGCTTGGAGTTCTGTTGCTGTGTACGCGAGAGGGAGTTGGTGTTGTGCAGGTGTTGGTTGTTTTTTTGGTGAATCTTACGATCTAATGACTTCTTTTGCTAGAAAGCAAATTTACTTTATTTAGTTATTGTTCCGGGTGGTTTTTGTTTACACAAGAATTTACAAACTAGGAGTTTGAAATGTTGCTTGAAGCTAATTGTTTTTGTTATGTTTTCTTGTCTATACAACTTATATTTAAAATATAATATATGATGTTGATTTTGTTTTAAATATTTTTTTTTTCTCTCAGTGGCTTGTGTAAATCTGTAACGGGAAATTTTTGCAATTATTAAATGAATTCTTTAGTTTTTTTTTAGAAATGTATACTTACCTTATTGTTAACACTTAAGTACAAAAATTTACAATTTAAAAGTGTTGAGGTATAAAAATGATTACGTTTTATCCGATGTTCCTTTCAGTTGCTCGGCTTTGTCTAGTCCTTGTATATGATGATTTGGATAGTATGAAATTCTCCCAGGAAAACAAATATAATAGTCAGCAGCAATTTGTAGTTTGTAGAAAAATTTAACTAAGTATAGTTATTTTGAGGCGGGGCAGCAAAAAAGTTTCCAAAATTACTTTTTATACGTTCAGGCTTTTCAGTGATATAGTTTATCCAAAAAGAGGTGTCTTGATTGTGAAACTCTAAAAAGAATTATAAAAAATTGAGGGGAAAGTAGTGATATGAGTATATACTTAAAAAAACCGACGAAAAATAAATAATTTTTTTTATTATTAGTTTTTTTTTAATTTTACAAATAATTATATATTTATTTTTTTTTTTTTTTTAATATTTAATCCATAATTATATAATATTTCTCGCAGTGTAATGAAAATCGCTATTAGTTGAGGGTCCGTGCTGAAAAGGTTCGTGTCCATGATATAATTTTTTAAGGTTTCACTTGGCAACGTTTCGTTTATTGTGAATGGAAATTAATATCAAGGTTCGCGTCTTAAATGTTGGTTATACTAACTTAGGTAATGAGTGTAGCCCAATAGTTTGATTATGTATCAAAGAAAATAACCATTGATATTTTCAAATAATTGTGAACGGGTAATAACCTCATGGTTGATAACTTGGAACTAAACTTGGCTTTCGACTTTAGTTGGTAATACTAATTATTTTAATGTTGGAAATTTTTTCCACTTTATAAGATAATAAAGTGAGGGTAGATGGCTAGAGACAGAGCTGAGTTTCGAATTTACTAAAAAAAATATCACATAAGGTGGATGTGCGAAAAAAATTTACCAGTGTTACCAGCTCTGGATATACCGTGATTACTATTATTGGGAATGTCTATTTACTTTTCCAGCAAGATTTGCTCCCTGAGTTTTTTAGGGATAGACCATGGTAGAAAAATACAGGTAGATGCATCAACGCTTAGGAGCATTGATATGTCAAAAATTTTGAAATTTCTTTTCAAATAAAAGTAGGTTTTTATATGTTTTCTTATACGACGTCATTCGGGGGTTATTATAATATGCCCTTTTCAACAATTTTTACAAATTTAAATAATTTTTCATTTAACATTTTTAATTCCAAAATTGGTTTGACAGTTCATTGTCTCAGCAGCTGCGTCGATGCGTCTACCTATATTCTTCTACCATGGGATAGACGGAAGATGGTTTTCTTTTTGTATACAGAGAAATTGGTAAGCTCTAGGATCATGAAAATAAACAGCTTATCAAAAAACTACTGATCGAACATTGTTCTCCTGCATCGTCCAGTCATCTCTCAGCACCAGTGTTGCCGTTTGAAATTTTTATTTCAGCCCATATTTTACGTAGATACCGATAGTAAATATATCGGATGTTTATAGAGAAATATATACAATGTATATATAAGAGGGAGGGGGATGTTAGCTAGAATGCTTATATCTCAAGATTGGCTGTACCGATTTCGTCAAATTTTGTCAATTCAGAATGCCCTCTTAACATAAAAGTATAAAATCTAAAAAAAAATCTCATAAAAAGATGCCTATAACGATGTTAATATAGATTTTGCAGTATTTTGTGACATTTTTTTATTTTTTCATATTTTTTATCGCATGCGATTTTTTCAATTTGACTTATACTATTGAATTGTACATTTTGTAATATGTTTTCATTTTACAACACAGGTTGGGGTTATTATATACAGATTGCAATTATCCTCACGAAAAGGGTAGGGTTAGGCTCAGAAGAGCTAGGCCCATTGTTTTCAAAGATGTCCGCAATATATTTAGGGGTTGAAATGGACCAACAACTAATAATGTTCCTGATTTTGCAGCCGTTATAAAGTTAACAAATTGAATCCAAAGGAAATCTCGCATGAAGTTCTAGTTTAGGATAGCGGGTAGAATGGACCACTACTTTTGTGTGTAAAAAAACCAACATTTCTTACAACTTCTGGCTTTTTTTTGGTGATACAGATGGGCCCTTTGCTATTGGAGTTGATCGCAAAATATTTAGGGGTTCAAATGAACCAAAAACAGAAAAAAATTCCTGCTCACGCAATTAAAGAGAGTTAAGAACAGGGAAGAATTCTAGCATTTTGGATAACCATTGGTATATGTAGCTGTAAAATGGACCACAACAACTAACAGCACAATTGAGTGCGTAAATATTGGGCAAATGTCCCTGGTCAAACCGCTAAGGGTAATATCTGGGCAGTGCTCCATGACATAATCTCAAAAGCGAAATCTTTCAAAATGGATTTGGACATGAGGGGGCTTCTAACATATTGTAGTGTTGTAGGGTATCACATGGTCGGCCCCGCACGACTATAGCCTAATGTATTATATATATATTACTAAAAAACTTAACAAAAATCTATAAAATAAATAACGATTCATCTCAATAAAAAAATATAAAATTCAGTTAGTAATAAAAAAAATTAAATTACATAAAAATAAACAATGAAAAATAAATTTGTACCCAATATGGAAAAAATCCGCCCAAAATCCGCCCAAACCACAAAATTTATCTTTTTTCCGCCCAAATTTGAGCGGAAACGCCCAAAACGGCAACACTGCTCAGCACACAACGATTAAGATTTTCCTCTCATTTCGCTTTCTATTACAGATATTTACGACCAACATCGTAACAACAAATTCAGTACCATTTTGAAAACATGTTAAAGAAATATCGAGTATATCAAACAAGTCCAAAGTAATGTTAATCCTATTTCATTACCCAGTTTGTCTATAGAAAATATTTTTTTCTTAAAATAAATTATAAATTATTTAAACATTAGTAAACCAAAAATTTTTCTATTCAAACTTAGTTGTTTAACCTAGACCATTTATTAATATAACATTTGACCCCATAAATCATAATATTTAAACACAATAACCCGTTCAACAACACAAACAGATAAGCAGACAGAAGCATAAAATGGAATTTAAACAATTTAAATGGATATTCCATTTCGCTATTATGTAGCCTTTACAAGAAAAGGTGTCACGTTACAAAAAAATAAAAAATCAAATTAAACAAAAAACTAAAATATTTTGTATAGAGCCACCCAAAAGAGGGAGAAAGGTCAAACATTCCATTTTTGACCTGTTAAATTTTTTTGTATCTCTGCTTTTCTTCCTCTCATAACGAAAATCTGAGCCTTGAAACAAAACAAAAAAATCAAACAATCTCTTCTTGTTTTAAACTCCAGATACTCAATCTGCATGGTAGCTAAGAGAGCATTGGGGTGTTGCATTCTATTCTATCGAGACATGGTATGTTGAAACTGACAAAACCAAAGCTTCCGTTTCAATTATTGTGAATACCGTTATGGCAGAACAATGCCGAACCGGAAACAAATATGCGACGACAATGCCAACAACAATCAGACAACAAACTCCAAACCAAAGGCAAACAATGCTAATAATAATGGCATCAGGCATTTAAACCTCACATCATACTTTCTTCTCCCACGTACAGCACACAAAAGAATGCCAGACACATGCGGAGGGGCAGAGATATCGTTTGGCTGGCGGGCTAGGTTGGCCACTCATTCTTTCTTTCACTCATTCATTTACACAAAGTTTGCAATATTCATATCACGACAATATCAATGCATGTGTGTTTGTGTGAAGTTGGGAGGTATATGAACGGATGCTGTCTAATGTCTGCCATTCATAAAGTTATCAGCTATCATGGAGAGGTATGTTGAACAGCCCATAGACCTTTTTTTGATTGAGGCAAAAGAGAAATGTGCTGCTTTTTTAACAGAGGTCGAAAAGCAATAGCTGCTAAGGAATTTCAAGGCAAAAGAGTATTCAAAAAGGTATAAAAATGTCTTAACTCGACACAAAAATTAAATAATAATTCATAAGGAAATGCGAGATTATTAATTATTATTATCTACTATCAAAGTGTTTCAGCGCAAACTAAAAATAATAGAGTTCGAATACAAGTGAAATTCTACAAAAAATATTGGAAAATAGGCAGTCAGTGAACTTTATCGCCCAAACCTTGAATTTTATATAAAACCATAGTAGGACACTGAACCAAACGTTGATTTTTAGTTCTAAAATTCGTAAGGGAACTTTGTCGCCTTAAAGAAGATTGTTTCTAATTTTTGTAAGAAAACTTGGTTATCCCTCCCTTTTTTGACAAAATTCGTAGCGGAATTTTTCTGCTCATACTTTACAGGCCCAAATATATAAAGGTTTGAAATAATAAGGAATTTTATTTGTATAACCATATTGTGAATGACATTTATTTCTCTTATGATATTTCATTTATTGATTATTCCATTGCAAAAACCATTTAAGCGGAAAAATTAAGATAACACATTGTGGATTTCACTCAAAGAAAATGTATATATATTCATATATGTTAACATATCATTTGTACAAAAAAACCAAAGCATACTTTAGGGGTTATATTAATGAATAGAATTGTTTGCCCCCTAGTGTCGACATGTCAAATTATCAGCATTCGTGAATCGACTAAAATTATTTCATGTGGTTGAAGACTTGGGTATGGTGTGTTTGTGTGTTCGCTATGAGGCAATAGGTGGCAGTAAGTTAAACTCAAAGAAAAATGCTAGTAATTAAATATATAAAGTAAGGAAATACATTTTTATATTTATTTTTATTTTTAATATAAAACTTTTTACTATGATAACCGATTTTCACTTTATAATAAACCGAAAAAGAGCAAATCTAGTCTTATATGTTTTGGAACAGAGCAAATATGTTGTATATATGTAATAAACATTTTGAATCGGATGGTCATTTGTTACTTTTTCGTACCATTTAATCTTAATAATTTAATTAAAATATTCCTATAGTAAAGAAAGTGATTTCAATTTAATATTAGAAATTAATTATATTAGACTGCAAGCGGAATATCTAATTAGCTTATTCTACTAAGAGATAATTGATATAAAATATGACAACCTATTTAACAGATTTATTATTCATTGAATACTATGTGTAGTGAATGAAATGATTAATTAAGACAAGTCATTTAATGTTAATCAAAATTAATTATATCTTAAAATTACCTAATTTATTGAACTACATTTTCAATAACGAAAACTTTCTTACTAAAAACTATCAAAAAATTAAAGTAAAAATCACAATTTGTGCCAGTCACACTTAACTGTCGGCAATGTCCATGAAATTAATATTTTACCCCTATAAGCGAAGGAACACACA